GGCGGTGGCGGCGGCGGCGGCGGACCACGTCGTGTAGCACTGGTAATTTCAGCAGCAGCAGCAGCAGCACCTCGTTGCGATCATTGCCACATGAACGCTTGGCCTCCAAACTCATAGCTGAGACCACGACAGCAAGTGCGTGCTGTAATACAGAAGTCAGCTTCCGTTCCGTATTTGACGCTCATGGAAGCAATACGCATGTTTCAGATGTGCGTTTTACTTGTGAGGCTCCCACATTGGAACGGACTATTCGGCCATGTTTCAGAATCAAAGAGGCGAGATTCTTTTCATGCTATGCCTGGGAAGACATACCATTAGAACTACAGAGCAAAGCTTCCCGCACATGGCGCGCAAGGAATTCGCAAGGCTTCGCATCTTGGCCGAAACCAGAACCCAGCGAAAACTTCATATACAAGGGCTTAGGTTTGATAGCTTTTTCGGCAAAGGCCATGCAAGGCCATTCAGCGGCTCGGGCTTCAATTACACGAGGCGGATTCGTATAAGCAAGAGTGGATTCTCAATATGATGAGCATCATCCCGTTCAACAACAAGATGGTGAAACATGTACTGTTTTGCTTTTCAACACCCCTAATAGGGTCGACATTCGCGATTTCCACAAACAAAATGTCTTTCGGTCTCGGATCTCACTTGCGTTGGACACCCGGTGCCTTTGGCCAAGGACTAAGGATTTTGGGCTCGGGGGATTCACGGGCTTTGCAGGTGTGGGGCTTAGAAGATTTCCATTCTGGGTTCAGTGTGATGTGCTTCGCCCACCGCTCCACCTCCAAACTCCCCCCAAAAAAATACCATTACTAGGGATGGTCTTTCTCCGGGAGAGATGTTTATCTTAGTCTTGAATCTCCCGCGCCTTGAACAGCCAAAACCTGCACTGGACAACAACAACCTTACATGCTGGACGCCCATGATGTTGAGGGAATAACAGAGTGAATCCCCAAGCGTTGCGGGGCTGAACGCAGGCAGAGGTGACAATAAGTTTATCTGTATACTCCAAAGGTGGCATGATCCTTTCTTCAGAGACCCTGAACAGGGATCCATGATTGTTGAATGTTTTTGCAAGTAAGGAAGGGAAGTCGGCCTCAAGGCCCTGAACGGTCAGTCCTTCCATATGCTGCCTGGCTTTCGTGCTTAGGGCTCTGGAGAACCTGGGTACAGAGAGAGAGTACTAAAGCAGGTCGCAATATTTTTGAGCAAGACAAGAGCCTTCTTTCATTGTTCGGAGAACCTTGCTAGCTCCCACAGCTTCTCCGGGTACAGCTTAAGCATTGGAATTCCGCTGCTATTGGATTGTGGATGGAGTGTTCCTTCCTGGTGGTGTGACTGACCTAGCTTCAGCTTGGGGCATTCAGAGCTTTTCAGTTTGTTGTGAGGAGGCGCGCGGAACTTGGAAACCAACCAGTGGAGGCCTACTCCAGCAGTCAAATGGCCATAGTTTCTTGTAGAGTCGTGGAGGCACCCGCTGTTCAAGAATTTGTTTCTTTCTCCGCACATTTTAGCAGCGATACATGCCAAAACACGGATCCCTCGAGCCTGAGCTCGATGGAACATCACACGTGATATTTAGGGGTTATATAGGGAATATGTTGGGATAATGGACATTAAAATGGAAACTACTAGCAAAATTGTAGGCTGAAAGCTAGAACTTTACTGTCCCCCACCTTGCGCTGCAACTGCTTTCCTCTTGTCCAGCTTTGGCTTTTGCCCCAGAACGAGGCGTTTCCTCGGCAATCCTGGCACTGGCAAAACGGTTGTAGCTCGCATTGTCGGACGCTCGGCCCCACAGATTTAGCAGCATGATCTTCGCGTAAAAGCATCATCACCTTAAAGAGGGATGAGAAGTCCTATTCCATGTTGGGGACTATAGTATTCTCGTTTAGGCGTGCGGTGTTGAGCAAGGGGCTTTTTGGCAGCTTAGGGTGTGGCAGGAAGGTTTAAGGGCTCCGGGTCCCTGTGGAAACCAGCCATGCGTTCAAATGCTGAGGATTGATACGACGGGCTTGTGGATGAGTTCAGGATATTTGATCAGTGAAGGCATGTCTGGTTTATGGATCAGCTAAAGGGATTGGGGCTTAGGGATTGGTTCGCAACTAGGCTTGGGGATCTTGGGATCTGATGTTGGGGCCTACTAAGGGCCGTAGTAGTGGGGTTCACCGAGATTACAGGTGGGATCCTTTCCCAAAGATAGCTTTCAGTCAGATGATTTCACAATATCTGTTTGTCAAAAAGTCCTCTCAACAGACTCTCTTCTAAAGTCGACTCACATTCAAAAGGGGCTATTACGTCCATAGCTTCATTCTTCCACTCCCCCTTACACACCAGTAAGTAGAAGGATTTGAGAAAGACACCAAGACCGATCAACACCGCCCAGCATGCCTTGAGGAAAGCTGCTCGTTGCCTTGGGCGCTATCAAGGAGCAGTTGCAAGCCCTCTTCTTACCGAAGGGTAGGTTCCAGAGGCCTCTGGATTGAGGATGGTAATTGAGGTTTGGAACTTGGGTATCAGGTTGCGCTACATTTTGCAGGTCTTCAGCGGTGATGGTTCACCAGTTTGCACCTCCTCACATCTACACCCAAAAGCTTGTGTCCCATATTTCTTTTTGAGAGAGATAGAGAGCTATGGATGCAAAGACGAGCAGCACTGATTCCCCTGAAAATCCCACATTCCCTTCTCAGGAGTTTGTGTAGAGATTAGGGACCACGGCTTAATATAATGGGAACAAGCTCCGATCTGAAGAAAGTGTGCTCGGGTGACCACATAGGAAAAACTCATTTATCATGCTGGGAATCCGAAGCGGTTTCTCCAGCTTTATGTCTTTCAACTGCTGGCTGCATCTTGATATTCCGACTAGCTTCGGTGGCGATCTGTTGGAAGGTCGAGGCCCAGCAGTTCAATTCCCACTGAGTCGAGTCTAGGCCCCGGCACCTTGAGTGAGAGGTTTGCTCACACAATGGCGCAAAAGGCATGCAGAGTGCCTTTGACCGATCGCTCTTCACTGTAGTTGTGGCATTGCTAGGTCATCCCCCAGCATAAGAACACCCAAGAGCCTATGCAGGGAGAACGGGCTATAAGCATCGTTTCTCGATGGATGCAGAGCCAGAGCAGAGGCATTGAAACGTGAAGGGCTTGGCCCACTTCCTTAATGAGCATTTTTGGTTCCGGTCGTGGCCCCAGAATAGCATACACATGTTTCGGCACTGGAGCTGAAAACTTAATGGGCTTTGCTGGTGGATATAGAGTGTATTCAAAGACTAGGATGCTAGCACTGGATGTGTTTTGAAGTACGGTTCTGCGCATAATTGACCTGTGCTCCAAACGGCCGAAAACCCCGCAGATTTGGGGTCGCCCAACATTCCACAGCCCAAGCTTCCCGAAACCCAAGCCCTTGTCGCAAAGCCCCAAACACAAAATAATGGCCCCTAAATCCTACACGCGAATCCCACACAATGGCTCGTGCAGGATCCCCCACCAGAGCAGAAGGAGAGCGACGAGGATCGTGACGAGGATGAGGACGACCATAGCGGTGGCGAGAAGCATGTGCCAACCTCAGAGGCCCATGGTTGAAAGATGTTGGTTTAGTGACCAGGCATTAGGATCTCAGGTTCTCTCGGCTCTTATACCTTCGGTCAAGGAATCCAAATGTGTGAGATATTGCTGATGTGCACCAGGCCTTCCAAAGACCTCCGGAGACATGGCAAGCTCAATCCACGCGCCGCTGCTCGCTGGACATTGTCCTCTCTCTTTGCTATTACTTCCTCTTCGCCCGTTGACCCGGATCTTTCTGGACTGCTTCGGCTGTGCATTACTGATTTCCTGTGTGGCCTTTGTGAGTGCGCCTGTTGCCCTGTAGTGGCACTCTTGCTTGATAATCCTGATTCCACTCTGTGTGCGTGCGGCGGTTTTCCCTTCTAGGCCATGCGCCACAGAGGCTCCCTGGCCCTCCTGTTTTTGTGTTGCTGCTCAGTTTGGCGTAGGCGATTTGAGCAATCTGGCCAAGCCCGTGAGCCTTTTTGTAGGTGCGGACCTGGGGCGCTCAGGCTGATCTTTTTGAGGCCCCGGGTATTCACCCCGGAAGTGACGTGCTTGTGCGCGTTTGACAGTTCACTGAGTTCGCACAGGAGAGAAAATTATTCACCCTATACTTGTAATCAACCTGGCTCAGGATGCGATGCCCATTCCACATTCGCCAGACCTCGATTTAGGCCGAGGGAAGGTCCGATGTGCACATTGTTTGTGTTCCTGCCCTTCTGCTTTGATCCATTCCTTCCTCCACCTTTCTCCTCACACGTCCCACTCTCCTCCAGCCCCTTGCCATTCTGGAGATGTCGATATAGGGTTTTGAGGAGTGGGTGCATTAGTTGGCCCGCCTTGAACCTGTGGCAGCGACTGGATGCAGGGCTCGTTGAAAGCCACATTTACCATCCTCTCAACCCATTTTTTTTAACAAATGAAGTGTCCGTTTCGAAGGTGTTCTGATCTACAGACTGGGCGTTCAATCCTTGCAAACATTTTGGACTGAAGAAACTCTAGGAACTGCTTGGCAACTTGCACCTGACCCTTAACTCAGACCTCCAAAAGGTTTTCATTTTTGAAGGTTGAAGATTCCTTGAAGCATATACTCTGCCTGGGAAGCCTAAGTGCGAAAACTACAGGCTGTTCTTGTACAATGTAGAGGGCAGTTAGGGAAAATTAGAAAGCAAATTTGGGCTATTGGCTTCCAGCCCACGGCTTCTGCTCATGCTGCCTCTCCCCAAGGGCATAAAGTTGGGTGCAGGACCTACTTCCTCGCAAACTCAGAGGCACATTCCTCCAATGAATTCCTGCCCTAGAGTAAGGTCTACATGTTTTTTTGTCGGTATATGTGGGGTAAGCTTTTAATCTGAGGATTGCAAGCTTCAAGCTTGGTAACTAGCTGGATACATGATTTATCGCCGAAGATGATATATCACTTGCAACAAGTGATAAAGACATCTAAGCAACTCCTACTTCATGGCTCATCACCAACAGATGGTAGTTTGCCTCAATAGGGGGACCCAATATAGACCCTAGGATATTGAAATCCTTATGATGGGGACCCCCCAAAAGGCACCCCTAATTTTGGGAAACCCCCAGATCACTTCTGAGGTGTTTAACGAGGTGAGCCGAACTGAGCTGGTGGCCGAGTATGTCCTGGACTTAGCTGGACAGAGTTTGGGCTGTCATTCCCTAAAAGCCGGGCCTCATAAAGCTGTCTTTCCGTGGTTTATGGACAATAGGTACCCATTGGGGTAATATTAGGGATTATATTCGGGTTATAGCGGGATAATGGAAAATACACTGAATCCCTGAGTGGGCGGTTGAATGGTGAAGGTGACGTCTTTCCGAGCCGGAAAGGACCCTTCCCATACTTTGAGCGGTGCTGAGATACTGTGAGTTAGGTGAGGGACCTACACATAAAGCATACAGAATCAAAAACGCATTCCTGTAGAGGTACGGAAGGATATTCTTCTGTTCCCGAAGTCGAGAACCCCATGAAAACTGAGCCTACCTGAGGGCAGAACCTCATATTGGCGTCCATGGACGGATCCTTTGTGTGTGTGTGTGTTTGCGGGTAAGGGAGGCTCTTAATTTTTCAGATGTGTTTTTAATGGAGACCCAAAATATGCCGAGACCAAACCGCAAGCATAAACATGCATGTCGATTGCGAGTCTGAGCAAAAGTTATACCTTGAATTCCAAACTCTGGCTTGCTCAGCCCGATGACCGCAAGCCATCAAAGCGGATGTTTTAACTGAGGGCCTGTTCGAGGGGCTGCCAGTCTTACCGTGTCAAGCTCCGCATAGCAGAGGCTGAAAGCATCCAAAGGTGAAACTGCATCTTTCACAGGCGACGTGCTGCCGCATTACAGCGAGTTCAAGTGTTCACAGTCAGTATGATGAAGAGGACTCTTTGAATGTTGACCGGCAATGTAAGTCAAGCCCCACTTCCCATGGTGACCTCGAAGCCGGCAAGCTCAGAATGTTGAACCCTCAGTCCTACCCTCCGGCGAAGCCAGAGTTTGATAAATCTGTCACTAGCAAGACACCATACTGCCTGGGTAGACACAAATTGGTATCAGCCCTTTTCTACTTGCACGTCACCAGACTATCGAGCCCACGACTGAGTTGGGGCAGACTGCCAACAAGACCCGAAGCGAAGTCCAGAAAGCCTTGGGTGGGGTGCTTTTCCTGGACGAGGCCGGCTGTGATAGCAAGGGAACAAGTCGGTCCTGAGAGCAGAGTCCCCATTAAGACATGAGCTAATAAGGGAACCCATGCCTGTTTAATAGTGTAGGAAATATTGACTGTAGCTCACATGAGTCGTAGGAGATCAGAAAGAAAATCCTGACCAGCGATTGACCCCGCCACGATTCTGCTTTTTTGAAGCTTTCGTTCGACTAAGACTCAGATGTTGGGTATGGAGTTCAGGATTGACGGCGGCATAGGTCCACTGTTGCGTGTGAACATTGCACGGCCCCTTCGCTTTGAGACAAGGGCGAAATGCAAGGTTTCGTAGCTGATTCAGGGTTGAGGATTTAAGGGTCGCTTTCTTCGAGAGCCCACAGGCAATAAGGTGGCATTGGCTTTTGCCTTTGCGCTTTGTAGCTTGTTTCACATTCCATCTGCAAGCTGATGCTCCTGCTCACGTGGGATCCTCGTTGTGGGCCACAGCCTCACTGACTGCAGATAACGCTTTGCATGTGCTGCGTGACTTGCACTTAATTCGATAGGGGCTGCCTTGAGAGAAGGGGTACATTGCCGCCGGAGAGGCCTTTCCGTGTGCTGGGCTTCCAGAATCCAAACGTATTGGGGAAGTTGAAGCTGTCGGGCCTAAGACGCAGAGCTTGAGGAACTCAAAAACCAGTCCCAGTATTGATAAAACATGTTGTAAGACGATTCATAGTTAACCCAAATCCTCATTTGCCTCAAGCCCAACTTCTCGCACCCAGAAGGCTTCAGCGATGCATCCCTAGAGTACATCGAGGAAACAGATTACCTGAGTCATGTATTGTTCAGCTTCATGTCCACAAGACTGTAGGATATCCGAACTAGGGTTCAGTTGTTTGTCATCCTCAGACTCACGCACCCCTGAAGTCTGGTTGTCCCTAAACCAGAGCCCCCCAAAAGGCCCTTCTGATCCTCACAAGGCTAGATCTTAGTATAGAAACATAACTATATCTACTTGATTTAAACTGCGGATTCCCTCTGACCATGTCTCAATCCGTTGCCGAAGTAAACCCCGACCATCGACATGCTTGAAGGCCTACGCACTGGTCCGAGATGGAAAAGACATGTTCGGCCTGGAAGCTGTGGATACCTTGAACTTTGCTGGCAGATATTGGGGGTTAAGGGTTTAGGGTTTAGGCTATAGATTAGTAGGGAATGAGGAATATGGGGGCAATATAGGAATAATGGAAGAGTAAATGGAAACAAGTTGTTTTGCTTCTGTTTTGCTTTGGCATGTCGCAGCGCGTGTCTTGGTCCGTACATTGCCAAAGTAATATTGAGCGCTGTTCATATTCGAGAGTTGGTTTCAGCTTGCATGCAGACATCGATCAATTTGGCATGTCGTTCTTTTCGTTTCCGTGCACCTGGTGGGAACTAGTGGTTTTGCAGCATATGCCACATGCCATGGACCCTCAGTTCCACCTTTATGAACTGATCTTTTACTCTGCAAAGGCCAGCATTCGTGCTTGAAGTAGAGTACGCCCACATACGCCCACATAAACGGACTCAGCTACCACAGCTAGGCCATCGCAAGGGGTTTTCGAGCAGGTTTGGGCTTCAGAGTTTAGGGGCTTCGAAACCACCTACGCCTACGCCGGAAGCTGTAGGTATTGGATCATGNNACGGATCAGCGTATCAGATCAGTCTTTGGTTGTACTGGATCGATGGCTCCCAGCGACCTGGATCACGGACTCAGCCTGTAACAGCTCAGCCCTGTGACATCAGCCCTGACATATTGGACGTATAGCCATTATATAGAAGGAGATTCCAGGCCCTGAGCTCTAAACTCTAAACTTTCTTCCATGTGGGTGATTCTGGGGAACTGCTCTTTAGGTATAAGCCGTACAAGCGAAAACCAGCATCCTTGACTCTAAACCTTGTGTTGCGGTTTAGGGTTTTAGGGTTAAGGGTTTAAGGATTTAGGGTTTGAGGGTTCAGGGTTCAAGGGTTTAAGGATTTAGGGTGTAACAGTTTAAGGGTTTAGGGTTAAAGGGTTTAGGGTTTAAGGGTTTAAAGATTTAGGGTTTAACAGTTTAAGGGTTTAAGGCTTTTAGGGTTTAGGGTTTAAGGATTTAAGGGTTTAGGGTTTAAGAGAGAGAGGGTTTAAAAGCTTAAGGGCTTAGGGTTTTACAGTTTAAAGGTGTTAGGGTTAAAGGGTTTAGGTTTTAACAGTTAAAGGGTTCAGATTTAAGGGTTTGAGGTTTAATGGTTTAAGGATTTAAGAGTTTAGGGCTTAGGATTTACAAGTTTAAGGGTTTAAAAGGTTAAGGGTGTAGGGTTAATTGTTTAAGGGTTTAGGGTTAAAGGGTTTAGGGTTTAAAGGGTTTAGGGTTTAAAGGTTTAGGGTTTAAAGGTTTAGGGTTTAAGGATTTAAGGTTCTAGGGCTTGGGGTTTAGGATTTACAAGTTTAAGGGTTTAGGGTTCAACAGTTTAAAGGTTTAGGGTTGAAGTGTTTAGGGCTTAAGGGTTTAGGGTGAAAGGGTTTAGGGTTCAAGGATTTAGGGATTAAGGATTTAAGGGCTTTGGGGTTTAAGGGTTTAGAGTTTAACAGTTTAAGGGTTTAGGGTTTAACAGTATAAGGGTTTAGGGTTTAAGGGTTTGGGGTTTAAAGGGTTCAACCTATGCCCCCAAGGTATTGACTCGGGTCTTGCCCTTTTAATCTCATGCTCACGCCATCTCTACTAGCATCAGAGAGTCC